AATTTTGGAATGGTACCTTATAGATTTATAACCAGGTAGCAGAGCAAGATGTGTATAAGAGACAGCTTTTACTTACAGTAACACTGATACTCAGCACTCTCCTACAACGCCTTAACAAAAAAACCAAATAGACCAAAATCCAACAAACGCAATATTTGGCAGATTTATTAGAATGGGTTCTTTAAACTATGCCCCTGGATGCCCCACTATGGAGGTTTGACCAGTTATGTAATGCCTGTGTGCTTTCTAGGGAAACGCTTACTTCCTCCATGTCCAAATGAGTCCCTGAAAGGTGATGGGCCCCTACTTACTACTACCAAGCAATCTAATAATACAACCGCTTTTGACAAAATATTTTCTTTTAATTTTTAAAAAAATGTATGAGCCCCTGACGGCTGCATAACTACCCACTTTAAAGTCCGCCTACGACTTCAAACATGTCAGTGAATAAAGAATAAAATACATGGTTATCCATCATAGTAGGCCTATTATTAAATATTATACACTTCATGTTGAAATCGATTAAAATAATGTATACATTAAAGGCCTACTAATAATTCAGATATTTGGATGATAAACGCCTGCAACATCATCAATTGGACCTTAAAGGACGATCGGGTCATTTTATTCCGATTGGCCTTATCATGTTTCAGAGCAACATATTTTTTGGTATTAAAGTAACACTTTATTAAAAACAATCAATGAATTTTGTTACTTAAACGTTTTTATATTGATATTTTCAAGCCTAATAGATGACCTGAAGAAAAAGTGATCCAGAAGTCGTAGGCTTGCTGTACAATATATTATGGCGAAAGTAAATTTTTGTTAAATATTGGAATGGTACCTTATAGATTTATAACCAGGTAGCAGAGCAGCTTAGCTCAGTTGCCTAAACTGTTGGTAGCCTGTGCGCGCTAAAACGTGGGGATCTTAGGTCTCCGATTTAAATAAAATCAAATCATTCTTTATTCATCACTCAAAATGGGTTGAATTTTATAAAAGTAAAGGGTTCAAGCAGAAAAATCTAAACAATCAACATTTAAACATTTTTCAACAAACAGACCCACATCACAATAACAGCAAAATGAAACAGGTTTAAAGGGCAAAAAGGCAACTAATATTAAATTATTATTATTATTATTATTATAATTATTGTAGTGAGATTATTCTATCGTTCCTGTTATAGCTACTCATTTTTAAGGTTTAATTTCAGCACTAGAGATATTCAGAGTACCCAGAGAGCATCTAAGCCCAAAATTTTTCGGGGCCCTTGGACGGGCCCTCGACTCACGTCAATTGAGTTATTTCCTGTTAAATCTCAAGCCTCTAGCTATATCCAACTTGGCATGTATTCTATATTCCAACATTATTGAGTAGTTGGATTCTTTCTTCCATAGATCGATGAACTGATAGGCCTGAAGAATACACTTTCGTACATAATTATTACGACGTCGAGCCAAAACAGTGTTTCTAATGTATTTAATTGAATGCTAGTTGCTAAGCCTATATATATAATAGGCCTACGCATACTTTATAAAACATAAATTAACCTAATTTTCTGATAAACAAATTAAATAACATTAATTATATGAAATATATTTAATGATATAGGCGCATTTGCTACCAACCGTAACACACAATTTGAAATAAAAGTAGGCGTATGAAGACATAATTAATGTCGAAATATTGAATCACAACACGATGGCGTGCATTTCAATACTTGGAGTATGTATTATACTTTCTTATCTGCGATTAATCAGTGGACCTTTCAGTAGTAGGCGTATCGTAGAAGAGAATAATCACTAATGGGCATTGACCTCCGAAGTACTGTAGAAGTACAGAAATAATAGAGTGTTTTTTTGTGGATGAAATATGGGTATATAGAACGACTAGGAAAAAGGTGTGATATCGGAATTCCAAAAGAAGAAGCATGTTATAAAGATATCCTGTTTTCTTTCCTGTATTTCTTATGTAAAACCGGATTTGAACTTTCAAAATGATTCTACAATGTGTATTTAGGCTTCATCAATACGGTATTACGAATGCATCAATAGTCAATCAGTCAATTGATTGAATAACGCTTTTGTATCATCGGCATACCTTTTTAGTGTAACCTTACAGTGACTAGAAAATAATTAATTGATATAGAGAAAACACAAAATAAAAATACAAAAATATGTTCTCTCTTATAAAGTATAATGAAACTAACCTGATGGAAAAAAAATCAATAGGAAAACTAAGAGGAACAATGCATCGAAAAATGGGGGAATAGCCTGGGCCGGGAATAACTCTCCAGGTAGAAAAAAAAATCAGTGGGGAAAATTAGCAGGGGGCAAGTAGCTACCGTAATAGTGCTATATTCTGTAAAGTAAAGCCTCAAACCACCTCGATTTTGAGTCTACTAAATTAAAAATCTTCCGAGGCTTTTGCAGATATAGCCAGAACTTAATATTTAGAGTTTTTTATTTATCAAAATATTTAATTTAATTTGTTTTTATTTTTGAATAGCTTCATGGATAATCACACGCGCCGCCAAAGCTTTTGGAAAATCGAATCTCAAACGCGATAAGGAAAGCTCTCTAATGACTCAAGTTACTGCATGATTGTTTTATAATTTTAATAAAACTAATTTCTTCTAATTTTAAATATATTTTCCCTGAATTCGTGATTATTCGTCGTCATGCATGGACTAAATGCATGACAAATTTAAGATCACGCATGTGTTTCCGCCAAATGCGTGTTACATCCAAAATCACTTTGAAGTGGGACCGTCCCACAC